AGTGAATTGACGCAAGGGGAGCCAGCCCCGGCTGTGATGGGCCAAACGGCCTCCTCGTGTGATGTCACAGGCGGACACTTTCAAGAAGGGGACCGGGAACCTCCTGCAGTTCAACAGCTTGAGAAGGCTAACGGGTAAAAGTGGGGTAGGGGGGATGCAGGGCATGTATGGATGGGGTAGGGTACGTTGCACTGGAGCGTGGGTTCCCCACAGTTCCCCTGAAATCACTTACTGGGCTCAGGTGCCAGCCGCTGGAACACCCAGCCCACCTCTTCGGGGTTCTCCTGGTCCAGAGTCAACATCCGGCTGACCTGTTGGGGAGACAAGAGTGAGAACGCTGCAAGTGGATGGAGTGGGGGAGGTTTCGGAGGAGACGGAAGAGATACAGAAAGACACAGGCGGACAATTATGAAGAGTTTACAGTTTTAATTTTTACAGTTTACTGAATTCAGTTTAATTGTTTTCCTGCAGCAAGAATGTAACAAGCTCTAATAAACAGTGATTTTGTTCTTTTGTTTGTTAAGTATAGAAACCAGGTCCATGTTCTCTGCTAACCTGGGTCTCAAAATCAAGGGCAAAAACAGAAATTGCTTTTAAAGCTCAGCAGGTCTGAACAGTTCGGAGGACAGGTCACTCGACCCGAAACATTAACTCTGATTTCGCCCCACACATGCTGCCAGAACTGTTGAGATTTTTCAGTAATTTCTGTTCTTGTCTTCGATATACAGGATTGCAGTTCTTTCAGTTTTTAAATGTGAAAAGCAAGGAGCTTGGGGATGATACTCATTTTGTTAAAAAAAAACTTTAATTATAGTGTCGATGCTGGGAACTGGTGGAGGGGTGGGATCACAATTTCCCAGCGAGGTGATGGGGCAGCAGCAAGGAGTAAGAGAGGAGAGGGAGATAAAGGACAAACCGGTTGGGGTGGAGGTGCAAGAGGGAAAGAGGCAGGCGAGGAGGGAAGGGGTGTGGATATGGGGTGAAGGCCAAGAGGGTGATGGAGAGAGCCAAGACAGGGAAGGGTGACTGGGGTGAGCTACGAGGGGGGGGGGGGGGAGGTGCAATCCAAGATGAGGAGGCGGGTAAGCCTAAAAGGTGAAGCGGCTGGGCTCTGCCATGGGCCATGTTGGGGGTGCAAAGATAGAGAAAGGGAGCAAGTCTAGAGGGTAGAGATGTGGGTGGGGCTGGGGGGAGGAAGATGGAGGATGCGCAATGCTGCATAAGGGACTTACCCATCCAGTGTAAATTGGGACTGTGAGTACGCTGGTGCCGTCGAGGATCCTGCACGGTTTGCTTCAGGGCCAGCAGACACAGCGAGGGCAGTCAAACAGCTCCAGCTCCTTGTCAGTGCTAAGCTCCAGCTGGAGACAGGGCAACATCATCAACTGGGACAACACCGACAGGATTAATGCCGACCAGGGCAAACCATGGTTTCTTAATGTTACCAGTTAATTGTAGGACCACGAGGAGTTGTGCCAAACAAAGAGACCTAGGGATGCAGAAGCATAATCCATTGAAAGTGGAGTGTAGGTAGACAGGGTGGTGAATGCAGTGTTTGGCACACTTGTCTTCATTGGTCATAACATTGAGTACAGGAGTTGGAATGTTATGTTGCAGCTGTACAGAACATTGGTGTGGCCACTTTTGGAATGTTGCATGCAATTCCGTTCTCTCTGCTATAGGAAGGATGTTGTAAAACTTGAAAGGTTTCAGAAAAGGTCAGAATTCACACAACACCAGTTTATAGTCCAAAAGGTTTATTTGAAAACACAAGATTAAAAACACAATCAACCGGTTGGACAATAAACTGGTGTCATGTGATTCTGACCATGTCGACTCCAGTTCAACACTGGCACCTATGCATTCCTGGTTTCAGAAAAGATTCACAACGGCATTGCCAGTGTTTGAACTGCAGGGAGAGGCTGAATAGGCTGGAGCTATTTTCTCTGGATTGTCGGAGGCTGAGGCTGAGCTTATAGAGGTTTATAAAATGATGAGGGTCATGGATAGGGTGAATAGACAAGGTCTTTTCCCCAGTATTTGCGGGGGGGGATCCAAAACCAGACGGTATTGGTTTAAAGTAAGATAATAAGGTGTAGAGCTGGATGAACACAGCAGGCCAAGCAGCAACAGAGGAGCAGGAAGGCTGACGTTTCG